TTTCATTTATATTTTAAAAAAGACACACAAGATGGATGAATTTTATTTTCTTTCTTGTCATAGGAAAAAAATATAGAAGTCAATGTGTTAAAATAAATATCAAGGAACAGCAACATTGATGATGATATAAACATTTTTGTTTTCAGGCTCATATAAAGTGAGATTTGGTTATCTTTTCTAAAGTGAAACTTTCTCTTTGTCTGCTGATCATAATTGAGCTAGAGTTCTTTTCCGAAGACAGAGCACAGATTTAACCGACTATTAGAGAGACTGCTCATTTTTAACTGCTGTTGAAAAATAAGAAGAAAATGAAGATTACTTATATTCTAAAATGATACAGAACCAACAGTGAAATAAAGTTAGCATTACTGTATCATTGAATAGCACAATTAGTTAAATGCTTTATTAACATGTGTATGCAATCATAAGAAAGGTCCTAAAAAAAAGACCTGAATATTATTTGGAGAATTATGAAATGTCTATCTCTTCTGCATTTTCTGTTTTGGGAAATATGAAATTTAAAGGGTTAAATGCAACAACAAAGAATGAGTGACTAAAAAGTAAAAGTAAGTGAATAAAGTGTAAAAAAGGGAATAAAAAATAAACACATTTTAAGTAATGATGGTCTTTAAAATGCAAACATTCAGACAAGAGTTAACAATCAAGTTAACTCTTAAAAGTTTTATCTTAGTTGAAAATAAATCGTTCTTTTCATTCCTAAAAAACACCAAAACCGGTCCCCACTATCTTGGCTAAGAGCTTGTCTTTCTAACATGCTTTTTAAGTTTATATCTTTTGGATTATACTGCTTACAGTAGAAAATTATGCTAACTCAAATAAATAGAAATTATCAGGACATGGAACTTCACATGAGCTCCCAGATCTTCAAAGACTCCTTCCAGCAGGAAATAGATAAGAGTGCTCCTCATCCCCATTCCCTTTATAGCTCTTAGAACTTCCTTCGATCTCTAAGTGGATTGCAAATCTAATAGCAGAGAAGAATTGCCTTTAACCATTCTGCCTCACTGGCAAAATCTAAATCATTAGAGTAAATTCTTGTGTTTGTGTAAGAACACTCTTCTTAGACAATTAAGTTTAAACATTTCATTGTCTAAGAAGAGTGTAAGAAGAGTACTCAAAAAGACTAGCAACTAATAAACCCTTTTATAAGGCATTTGTTTTGTCTATTGTTTGGTCCTTAAAATGTTCTGTCAAATATACTTTCATAACTGTACTGAAGCCTACTGCATATAGCAAATAATACATTTTACACCTTAAAAAATATGTAAAAAGTATGTTGTGGTTTTTAAATTTTATTTCCAAACAATCGATAATGCATATTTTATTCCACAATACCAATTACAATTCACAAAAAATCTGATCAGCTTTTCATTCCACATTGTACTTCCTTTCACCCATCCCAATAAGTGTTGAATGTATATCAATTAATTATCCACTCCTTTCCTTCCACTTCCCGATAATAATATTAGAGTTATTCTTTCTGAGT